CCCTTGATTTCAACGTCAGAGAAAAAACTCGTTTCATGGACTACTACTACCTTTCCCAATCCAGCACAGTAACAGATAAATCGGAAAGTTCCGAAAAATAGGTCACATTCATTCTGGACGACGAGGAAGTTTGTAAGCTTTGTTAAGTAGCCTATCATTTCATCCAGCATTTTAATACTGGTTTCGAGTAACTGTTGAATGGGGTCAGGTCATCAAGGTACTAGTGATTTCTTGTGTGGTGGTATGCTTTACAGATCCTTAGAAAGTGTGCCTAGTAAACAGCCAATAGGTCACTCCAAACTCGGTAGTGGAAACACAGTGATTAAGGTCTAGAGATTATTCAAACCACTGAGCACTACATATTAATTGGAAGACATCCGTTGTCCGTAACTTACACTCTAGCGCGGTTTTCAAATTAATTGACGAACGGTACCACTTGCAACAAAAAGCCTCTACCTGCAAGTTTAAGTGTCAAGACTTCAAGTTGGTAATGTGTTGAAATATTGGTAGCTCGGGTAAGTTTATTGGTTGCTGATCAGGTGGCTGTTGATCTGCTCGCCGAGCTTGGCTTCCAAACGTTTCGTCACCATACGAGGAGACATCATCAGTGCGCAGTTGGGTGGGTACTTCTTCCTTGCCTGCGTGCATTTATATAGCATTCGAAGGCTATCTGCTATCTTCTGAGGTGATTGGCTACGAGGAACTCATAAGAGAAGGAGGAAAGCACCGTTCAAACCGACACATCAATTGGATGGCGCCGAATAATAGCACCAAATCAACCGGCGGACGCAGGGACACTAACCGCCACGGTGAAGAAAATAGGGCGGCCGAAGCAACCAATCAAACTCAAGAACATCAGACCACAACGCAATGCGAACGAAGGCTAGAGAGAACAAGCTAATAAAAATAGAAGGCGTTGGGATAACCGATCAACACAAAGGAACGCAGACCACCACGCAAGAAGAATCACAAACGGACCAATGGATTCACCAAATTCGTTACACTTCAAGTAGTTAATCACGCCAGAAGATAACAGATAGCCTTCGAATGCTACATAAACGCACGCAGGCAAGGAAGAAGTACCCACCCAACTGCGCACTGATGATGTCTCCTCGTATGGTAACGAAACGTTTGCAAGCCAAGCTCGGCGAACAGATCACTAGCCCCATGATCAACAACCAATTACACTTCAAGTAGAGGGGAAGCCGCTTACGTCAACCGCGACAGTCCTATTGCGAATATCTGTCCCTTAGGCCAATAAATAATACAATAGCATAAGTTGGCACCAATAAACAGTGAATGCAGCTCCTGCTCCAGGGAAGTGATAGGGTCGGAGTTTGTAGCAGTCATGCCAGCTCATCGTGTCGCACGTTTTAGCACGCGCCGAGAAATTCGAATCGATTAGCGACAAAGTCCAGTGCAGTCGACTCCGAACTTCTTGGGAGAAAAGTTCGTTCCAAAACTCATTTGCCTAAAGTCACGAATTTAAAACGTAAACAAAAGTGCGCATGGGTGATCGTATTTTGAACATTGAACCTGCTCGCTCAGGGAGTTCAATTCAAAAAGAAACCCAAACTTATACAGCAAGTTTAAGAGGTGTCGTTGAAGGCGAACTTTTCACTGCTCAGTCTACCGTTCGAACCACTCTGCTATCAACGTTACGCATATATCCTTTACTGGAATTTACGTAAGCATGTATTCTTCCGTGTGCACTGGTATCATTTTTACACTAAGAACGGTAGGTAAACTATTGATTTGGTTCGATTGAATACATGGTTAAGAGAATTTGACTTACCCAGAGGATAGAAAAAGTGAGTAATCACAAGAAACGAGTGGGCCCATTGAAGATGACAAAACGCCCTGAAGACGGTAAATGGAGAAGATACAACGCTCTGGCTAAAGCTCCTCCATCAAAATCTCGAAGATGACACGTGACACAGGTCTTTTTCTCATGGAGGCCTGTAGTGCCTTTTTGCTTGTTCGGATGAAGCTGACTGAAGTTTCAAGTCAAATCCTTTCAGGAAACCCATCGGTTTGGTTGTTGGTGTTTCTGAGGATGACATTCGGCAGAGCAACACCCGAGCCACCTACATTCTGCAACATCGACGAGACAACGCTCTCTGTCTGTTTTTGGACCTGCTTTTCGCTGGTGGACAACACCCTTGGTCGTCAGTCGCTAGGGGTCCGGATTGGACATCTCAGCTTTTCGACCACACTTTACTGTCTAGGCTAAACTTAAAAAACCAAGAAACGATGCTGACATTCGTGATTATATAGTGCTACTGCAGTCTTACTCCAACATGATTTTTATTTCTAAGAGGAAACCCAATGAACAGATCTCTTGAATTGTTCCAAACCTATTTCATGACTTGGATTATTTACCTTGCAAAATAATTTGGTGGCCCTTCATGGCTTAAAGAGCAACAAACTAATCAACGTGAAAACACTCAATAGTGTTTCAAGCCCTCCTAGAGATCCACTAAGTGCCAACAGTCAGTGATTCAAAACAAGGCTGGAAGAACTGTACGGTCGTTCGGCACAGAGTGACCAAACTAATACGACCATATCGCTACTGGACTTTACAAATTTTCCGATACTACCAACGACTCATAGGAATACTAGTACAATATCATAAACAAGAGATTCGATTGAGTCTCCCGTGAAAACCAAATTGATTTGCAAATGATTGTTTTTCTCGAAAACGGTCCAATTTGGGTTCAAGTAGAACATAAGGTTGACGAAAACTCGGATACTGCGCCTATCTGATGAGCCCCAAGAAGGGCAAAACCGGTCGTGGGCTGTCGAAGCGTTTTCAGCAACCTTGTGAGTAGTTTCCTTTATGAAAATACTTGAGATCGTTACAAGCGGTAAAGTGAACTGTGCGGGGATGTTAACCAGCTTTCTCTAGTGGATGGCTGCAGCCACGAGAGAACGATACTGCTTTCGGATCGGCTAATTTCAACCGACATCTCAATGAGCTATTTCTTTCAAAAGAGGTAAGTTTTTACCCTGTAGTATAAGACACTTATTCAGTGTTATATTCTGCAAGAAATTTACGCCAGCAGTTATTCGTCATATGCTGCGGGAAAATTCACGAACAAATAAAGCCGAAAATTTTCATTCCCCAAGTCTCTGATGTCGCACATTTCCCATCGTCTGGATGAAACCACCGGGAGAAGAAAAACATATACGGTGTTCAGAAAACCTTCGTCTCTACTGAGGATTAGCACAGAACATCACATCAGTCCAACTGTACTGTCTCAGATCTGCCAAGTAGTAATACAGTGGAATTTGGACGCCGTCATATTCGTGATTCACTATTTGTACTTGAGAAAGGACGCTGTCGTGAAGAAATGAAATGAACCACTCATTGGATATCACTTTAGGGGGACGAATGGGAAAACGTTCTTTATGATACACTTATCTAATCGCCTACTTTCTGACTTGGGTAGCAAACCCAATAATATAGTCTCCATATTAAACTGTACCGGACCAATAAATGCTGTATTTCCTGAAAAATGCAGAGGAACAGAAACCGGTGACAAATCTTCCATCATGGAGATAGACTCGACCACACAACAGTTGCGTTCTGCTACCCACATCAGTGGGTAGGACATCCAGCATAATGAAATCCAGTCATTCTTTGCGATAGATTAGCGTCAGAGACTTCCGAAAATGTGGACAGCATATATCATGACGGAGTTTGAGTTTTACAGGCCGCATCATACGTCCACTTCACTACTTCCCGCAGACGCAAAATAAGATCATTCACACGACAAAGACAAGATTACTAGCCATAGAGGCCATCCGGCTTCTGGGCTTTAAGCTAACTTTTAAAATTTGAGCCTTTCGATTTCACAGATGATGACACGTTAGTGAGCGTTGGTGCAGTGTCGTTGTATCCTGCCACACTGATACGCGTATGGTCAAACTATTGGTAATGTGTTGGAATAATGATAGCCCGGGGAGCAGATTAACCACCATCCAAGCAATTAACAATGTTCAAACTATATTTGACGCTGACGCCACTCTCAGTAAAGGACGTGGATTCTGACCAAACGATCACTGGTTTGCAATCCAGTTGGTCAGCACTATCGCCTATTGCTACTAATCTCTTACACCCGATAAACTGCCATTAAACGCCAGGCGAAAAGCATCGTTCTAACTCTTCGTGTTCTTTATTGGGTCACGTCTCGTGGACCCATCAATAACGGATCACGGTTTTTCCTCCTGATATCCACATTAGCCCGGGTTTTCGGAGAACGCATTCCCATGAGAATCCAGAAGGATGACCGTCAAGGGGGTACCGATGAACTACACGCGCAGTTCCATTCACAGTCTCTTCAAGTGAAGCAAAGTGGCGTTGGATGATCCAAAGTCCATCACAAACGCACAATTAGATCGATATTTCTTCCAGTAAGTGAAGCCAATATATGCTGAAAAAGCTTAGAAGCGTCGTATAGTCTTCTTCTTCCTAATTAGAATCATCATCAGCGCGCATCTCATGAAACTCCAACGAGTTCCCAACCCGGCTAGTAGTCTAAACATCTAACCTTTCGGTCACGAGCTGCTGATCAGCAATATGATTAACTCGCACCTAGACAGGATATAATGTCAGTTCAATCGTGAAATCAACACAATGTAGTCCCGTGTTGACTGTCCCCTCGAGTGACAAATTCTGATACAGAAGTCTCGCGTCTTTTCGAACTATTATCCTAAGCTACTTATGGTTTATCAGTAGTGTAAGCATTTGCCTTCACATACGTGATGAAATCTCAATGAAAAGTTTCAAAATCTCCTCATACTATCAAGAGAATTTGATCGCCTAGGATCATTTCTCGACAAAATTCGATTCTTCGACAGTACATCAACGGACAATAAAGTGTCTAACCAAACGGCCGAGTCCATTGGGCCACAAATGGAAGGAATAAACAGTTGAAATATCCTCAAGAGAGTAGGAAATGAGGATTTGTTTTGAATAACAGGTGCTCTCAGAGTCTCGACGCTTACGCTTGCAAAAGACCCACAGGAGGCCATTACACAACAGAAATACACCGCGCTTCCTCAATTATCTGGCCTGCTTTCCTTGTGTCCCTCACAGTAAATCAGTGGCTGAAAAGAACAAACAACTGAACGACGATATTGCTGATGGTCGACCACCTGACACTTGGTGAAGGGGTCAAGGAGAAGGTCAGGTGAATCAATATTTATGAGAGATAAAACAGTTCGTAGCAAAAGTAAAATCTTAAACTCCAACAGAGAGTGTCCACACGCAGATGGGTCAACGACCACGGCCGCCAGATTCGTCTGAGTCATCTTCCTCAATGGGTAACAACTCTCCCTCAAGTGCTGCATCCTGCGGACACATCCAGCACGTTTGATCCCCATTCTCGATGTCCACTTTGGCCAGTTTGTTGACTCGGTCAGCGGTAGGTGGTTTGGAAAGACTGATGGTTTTACGAAATGCACAGAATCCAGAGAAGAGGCCGAAATCCTCTGGAACAACAAATGGGCAGTGAAATTTGTTGTGCGCATGAGAGAGACGACATGCTGTAATGTGAAAAGTAGAACGACGAATAAGACATGCGAACTACACCACAAGGAACCATTGTGCCACGGAGTTTGATTAAATTCTGATCGACAAATAGACCGTTTGTCCATCCGAAGCGGTTCATCTTGCCTATTTTCCCACTTTTATTCGTCACAACTGACCCATAAGGTCAGACATTTCTCGAACCATCGTACACGGTGTTCTTTAGGTATCATCTACGACACGACCTAGGTCATAGTACATGACATCTACTACCCATTCGAAAGCAGGGTTATTGAAGCAAACCCGTTTCGGCTGTGCAACATTAATGTCGCTATATATGTTGAAGAGGATAGGTCAGTTCACACGCAGTAAGAATCCTGGAAGGCGGCGAAAGGCATGCCATTGTATGACTGTATTCGTATCCGTACTCTTTGAAACAAACTGACAACTTTTCAAAAGAGTTTGGTAAACAATCGTAGTTTTTTATTCGAGTAACGTTTCGCTCCGCTCCAACCTATCAATTCAAGATTTTGGCCCCCACACCAGCCGACAAGAGCCGTTAATTGACACTCAACACTGCTCTAGTTTGAAGAGGACTTACTGATTGGTTCCCCGTCTGTCGTATAACCTGACCAATTTGGTGACCTGTTCACTTGGCCTGATGAAGCTTTTGTGTCACAAGCGAAAAGTTGCCCAAATAAAAACTACCGATCGCTTACCAAGCTCTTCTGAAACGATGACTTCTCAATCGGTTCCAAACTTTTCCAATCGATTGAAAACTGACAACTTATTGAGAAAAATATTGGTGCCTCGGCGGAAAGACTGGAAGTCGGAAACGCTGTGACTGAAACTGTAAGTCAGTTGAAGCCGGAAGCACATATTGTTGACTGGAAACAAGTAGCTGCTTACCTGAAGACAACACGCTCTTCAGGATAGGTGTTTTGAGACCCAAACTGATAAGATCGAGCAACAGATTTCGTCGGCCAGATATCACCTTCAAAGCCAAATTCACATCAGATGTATGGTATCGATTACGGAGGATATCAACTACGCAATCCAGCTTATCGGTTGCCGATCGCCAATAAGTCTGTAACGTGGGAGATCGGAAAGGATGAAATCCTCGGGACTGATTCACCCTTGGGATTTTGTTTCTTCCTCCGGAATCTCGATCTGGCATATCACGTGCCAATAGCAAAGTGCGCGAAGTAACTAGGGCCGAGTAGTGTCGGCTGGCTCCTATTGTGCTGTTGCCCCCTGAGGACCTGTCACTATTCCAATCGGCCGCAGCGGTCAGTCCAAGACGCCAATTCATTCCACCTGACAGAAATGCATCCGACCAACTCAGTCCATCGGAGGACCAACGAGTAGCACTCATGTGGGGGGTGAAATCCAGATAGTTTTCGTGCAACCAGGAGACCAAATTGTCACCGTCCGTTTGGCACTGGTCGAGTATTTCCTACAAAAACGAAGAAACAACCCATAAACGATGTAAGATAGTATCAGCTTTGAAAAACACTAGCCCAAGGGATCCCAACCAAAAGGAATTAAGTGTGCATTGTTCTCAGAGATGAGAATCTACACGGTCCAAATGTTGACTTCCAAACAAAGCAATCTGGTAAAATCATTTTCTGGATGCCAACAACAAAAGAAGGAATGGTGCAATTTAGTGGCGAATAAACAAACACGTAAATCGATGCCGAAAGTTCAAAAGTGCAACACCGGTTTCTTAAACCGGGCCGAAGTAGACACAGATCATTTTTAAGTGATGAATATGAGCTAGTGTGCGTAACAAACGAGGATTTCAGAGATGTCAGCAAACGTCATCCTTTACAATTTCAAACGCCCAAAAAACGCCTAATTAATAGCCAGTACTAATTGGACACTGGGCAAGGGAAAAGACTAAGTTTCGCATGGGTTGGTTCGGCATATTTGGATTATATATTCGGAAACATGTTTCTTGACGTCCACTTCTAGTCTACTGTGGGTCTTATGGATTGTGAAACCTCCCTGTGGTAAGCCATCACTCCAGGAACCCGTAAATACGTGACCATGTGATGTTGTCTTCTGTTACTGAAAGATAAGTGGCGCTATGTCCTGTCTTAGTGAGAGCTAACCACACTACTGATCAGCCACTCTTGTTCGACCAGTGGCCAGGACGGTCGTGGGTTCGAAACTCTGAATTTCGTGAGGTGTGCACGGCTCATGATTTCCAACAAGCTGTACAGTGCTTCTTCGCTTTTTAGCATACAATGACTTCACTGGCAGTAGGGAATCTACTGAATATTATATATATATATATATATATATATATATAT